TCACATTAAATGCATTATCATGGAAATAAAGACTAATTAATTCTCTTATTCAACAATATTTACTGTATGTTTACCAAGTACCAACACAGTACTAAATTCTGAATAATGAACAATAAAGTGTCCTAGTCTAGACAGTAAATAAATTCATGAGAAAATAAGACAATTTTAGCTACTGATGAATGCTATTATTTAATATAATATTAGATTAATATAATATTAGTTGCAGCAAGCAGCTACTTTAAGTGGGTGGGGAAAGCCTTTCTAAAAGTGTCATGTAGGCTACGAAGCAACCATTTGAAGACCATGAAGAAAAACATCCCTGCAGAGGAAACAGCAGGTGCAAATCGTCTACAGTATTTGTGAACTTGGTCCCTTATGGGGGCAGAGAGAGGGCGGGAAAGGTTGGAGCATAGAGACAAGAGACAGTTGTACAAGGGAAGTTAGGGAGGAATGCAGCGTCCGGGTCATATAATATCTTCAGGATGGCAAGTGTTTAGAAATCACTGGAATGTGATAAGCTCAGATACTCATTTCAGGAAGATGACAGTGCCCTCTATGCCAAAAAATGTATTGTAAGAAAAACTTTTTCTCAATGGATGCTACAGCCAGAAAGGCATACATTGTTTTATGAATGAAATACTCAAAAGTTAGAAAAATGAAAACACTTGGCTTAAGCCCACAATGCAAGAAAGTGGAAGAACAAAGGTTTTAAACACGATTTTGCCTGAAGCATAAAACTTTCTCCACTAAACTTCCCATCACATGTACACACGCTCGTGTTTGTTGATATTGAAGATAAACCACTTAAATACTAGGAAGTTTTTTTTTAATTTGACTGCTACCATTTTATTATATGTTTGAATAAAAGTGAGCATGGACAGTTTTGAAAGAGAGATCTAAACTGATTTTCTTATAACTTTTAAACAGATATGCTCCCATTTTTACTATTTTCTATGGAATCTTAAGAAAATTACCTGGCCTATTTGGGCGATCATTCCTTTTTTCCTTAATTTGAGCAGATCATCCATCATCCATGATGATCTACTTTGTCTATAATTCGTTTCATCTAAAATGATACTTTTCTGTGTTGTTGAGAATGTTTAAAAAATGTTAACCTTTTACATGTTCTTGACATTTCCTTTCTTTTTCAACGTTGCGAGTTTATCCAGATTTCTCTTTGTTTACCCTTCCGTCCAGGTCCAAGTCATACTGTCGGCCCTTCAGGAAGATTCTCTCACTGGCTGCGGTCAGCAATAATTTGTTCTCATATAGGTTTATCACATTATTCTTATTTATACCATTCATTGTGAAAGTAGATATGGTATATTATTGTCCCGTTACAGCTCTCACAACAATCATAACAACCCTGAGTATCTTGATAAATTAATTCAGCAATTATTTATTATGAATTTATTATTTGCTTGGTACTATGCAATAACACTGTCTTGAAGTTTGCGATCTAATAACTTAGCTAGAAGTCGTTGAATAGAAAAGTAAAATATATAAAGTAGAACATTTTTTAGTGAATGAGAAATTCATAGTTAAATAAATAAATTTTACATTTTCACTGTTAAAATTATCATTTTGGAGTCCTAAGGAAAGCAAAAGAATTCCACTCACTGAATCATTTTCCTATTAATGTACGTTTTGTATTAAGGTACAAAGAAATACAACCTCATGGGCAGAAACAGCGTGCCACAGGCAATTACAAAGCACACTTTCTCTCGTTACATTAGAGGTTTCTATCCTTTTGAAAGACTAACTTTATATTCCATTATCTTCGAAATAATTATAGTAGTTCAATGTCTAACCTAATCATGGCTACATCACACAGGAGAAAGAAGTACAAATAGTTCAGCATTAATATACGAATATAACTAGTTTATAAGTACTTTTATTATCAAGAGGAAATTCCTTAGTTCTTAAATACCATAATACCTCATGATCTATTAAGGTATATAGTCCTATTTCCTTTTCTTTGAAGGATTTGTTTAAAACACACAATGTTGACATATATATGATAATAAAACGTAGTCACAAAATAAATATATTCATAATGTCATACACCTGTAAGTATAAATTGAATCTAAGATGTAGTGAACAAACAAATTAAGATAAAAATCAGATCATTAAAACAGAGGTGAGCAAAGCTAGAATAGAATTGGTTCTTTAATTCCATTTGGTATGTTTACTAAATTATCTGTTTGATATGAAAACTTTCAAATGAATTTATCCCTCCTGTCTGATTAATATAAAATTGAGACAAATTTTTTTAACTCTGATCACTTATAAAATTTTAAGAAATTGAAATATTGTATCCTATCCAGCCATTACCATCAGTTTTGCTACACGTAAGTGTACTATAAAGACTTGTAAGTGAATGAGGTGCTCTATAATTAACAGAAATCTAGTTGACTACTAAAAATCCATGAATACAAACCAATTAGTTCAACTTCATTATTATATGAATTAATGGAATTTAAAATATATTAAAGGTATATTAATGATGATTAGGATTAAAGAAAAATAATAAGTTTAGAGAAACATGTCAATTAAAAAATTGATATTCTGAATGACCTTATGTTAGCTTTATAATTCAATATTACCATTAATTTCCTTTTACTCTGGCATTTTCCTCACTTCTTGTGAGGAAATGAATGAATTTCGATGATCACTGCCCTAGAATGCATTCATTAAGTGCTTTTCTCCTTTATTTAGTTTCCTTCAGAGCAACAAGATAATGATCCTGTTGAATCAAAGGGATCATTTCTGGTATTTGTACTATGTACACCACATTATTCTATGGGGTGAAAATATTGAAAGATAAAAAACTTCTTGATAAAGGCACAGTGCAGTTTGTGCACATTCTATAAATACACAGGCCGCTCTTCACTGTGGCATCTCCCGGAGGAGCCAGGTGTCACTGCTGCACCTTCTCTCACCTTGTGAGCTGCAGGTCCTGGGAGACCTGTGGGGAAGTCGGAGCGACACCCTGGAAACAGAGAAATGCAACTGCTGACACTCAGAGATGTGTCTATAGAATTCTCCATGGATGAGTGGGCCTGCCTGGACCCTGACAGCAGACTCTGTATCGGGATGTCATGTTAGAGACCTACAGAAACCTGGTTCTCCTTGGGCTTGCTGTCTCTAAGCCAGACCTTATCACCTGTCTGGACCAAAGCAATGAACCCTGGAAGGGAAAGACACACCAGACAGTAGTCAAGCACCCAGTTACATCTAATCATTCTACCCAGGACAATTCACAATGTTGGGTACAAACATTTTATTACCAAAGACAATGCTGAATGCTGAGAAGATATTAAAACAATGGCCCTGAGAATTTAAACTCAATAAACTCCTGGGATCGGGTGTATGAGTATAAGCAGCAGAAAGTATGTTATGATGGTCTGGATGAATGTTTAACAGCTATGCATGGTGAAATCTACCAATGCAGTAAAGGTTTCAAGGTTCTGAGAATATTATTAAGTCTAAATAGACATAAGATGAAATATACTAGGGAGAAAACTTTTGAGCGCAAAAAACATGGGAAAGCCTTAAACCTATGCTCAAACTTTGGAAAACATAAGATAAGTCATTTTGTGGAAAAGCAGTACAAATATAAAGAATGTTACAGAGTCTTTAAATCTTGCTTAAGCTTGTCTAAGCCCAGGGGACTTCATACTGGAGAGAAAATCTACCATTGCAAAAATGATGACAAGTGTCTTAGCCACACCTCAAAATATTCTAACCATAATTCATAATGAAGAGAAACCCTACAAATGTGCAGAATGTGGCAAAGCCTTTAATCATTACTCAACCCTTTCTGTACATGAAAGAATTCATTCTGGGAAGAAACCATACAAATGCCAAGAATGTGGAAAAGCCTTTAACCGGTACTCACATCTTTCTCGACATAAAAGAATTCATTCTGGAGAGAAACCCTACAAGAGTCAAGAATGTGGCAAATCCTTTAGTGATTACTCAACCCTTTCTGTACATAAAAGAATCAATTCTGGGGAGAAACCATACAAATGTGAAGAATGTGGAAAAGCCTTTAACCAGTCCTCACACCTTTCTGGACATAAAAGAATTCATTCTGGAGAGAAACCCTTCAAATGTGAAGAATGTGGCAAAGCCTTTACCAGTCCTCAAACCTTTCTGAACATGAGAAAATTCATTCTAGAGAGAAATCTTACAAATGTCAAGAATGTGTTAAATCCTTTAACCAGTACTCAACCCTTTCTGTACATAAAAGAATTCATTCGGGAGAGAAACCCTTCAAATGTGCAGAATATGGCAAAGCCTTTAACCAGTACTCAAACCTTTCTGAACATGAGAGAATTCATTCTGGAGAGAAATCCTACAAATGTCAACAATGTAGAAAAGCCTTTAACCAGCACTCCAACCTTTCTCAACATACAAGAATTCATTCTGGAGAAAAACCCTACAAATGTGAAGTATGTCGCAAAGCCTTTAAGCATTATTCAAGACTTTCTGTACATAAAATAATTCCTTCTGGAGAGAAACCTTATGAATATCAACAATGTGACAAATCCTTTAACTAGAACTCAAATCTTTCTAAACATAAAAAAATTCATTCTGGAGAAAACTTATAAATATGAACAGTGTGACAACCCTTTAAATCAGGTTAAAATCGGCCTGTCCATAGAAAAAAATCATACAACATAGACAGCCTACAAATATGAAGAATGTGCTAGTACCTTTACTTGGTGTTCATAACTTACTAAGCATAAAATAATTTACACTGGAGAGAAACTCTACAAATGTGAACAATGTGGCAATGCACTTAAACCAGAGGTCAAAACTTACTAAATATAGGGAAATTCATATTGGAGAGAAATCTTACAAATGTGAATAATACAGCAAAGATTTTTTAATTGTTGGGAATTCATTGAGTGTACAAGAAACCAAGTTACACTGATTTCATTTGTTAGGTAAAGTCCATCTTACAATTGTGTCTTGTCCCCAAAAGGTGTATCAAAAATATGGGATGTTTCACAAATTTGCATGTCATCCTTACACAGGGGGCATGCTAATCTCTGTATTGTTCCAATTTTTGTATATGTGCTGCTGAAGCAAGCACTATGGCAAAGGTTTTAACTGGTCCCTGGCCCTTAGGAAACGTAAGAGAAATCATGCCAGAGAAAAGTCATCACGATATGAGGGTATGGTGAAGCTTTATGCCAGTAATCACAGTTTTCTGTACACAGGAGAATTCACGTTTAAGAAAAATGCTATAAAGTGAAGAATGTGAAAGTGTTTAACCTCTGCTCAAACCACTCTATATATGACAAATTTATGACAGAGAAAACCCCTACAAATGTGAAGACAGTTTTATTGTATAACCAGTATTCACACATTTATGAATCCCACAATTCATAGAGAAATTCTATACATGAAGAATATGACGATGTCTTTAACTATTTCTCATGCCTTTCTAATCCTAATTCATAGGGAAGAAATACTACAAATGTCAATCATGTCTTAAAGCTGAGTTTATTCTGTTAGGTAGGGTGAAGGAGGGACAGGGGAAGATGATTCTAGGAGACCCCTTGTTCACAATAAGAGGAACAAAATTACCAGAGTGGGCTGCCAAGAAAGAAAAGCATTTCAAGAAGGCTTCCAAACTGAACTGATGTTTGCTCTACAAAAATGAGTCTCAGCAGTGGAGAGGCCTCAATGTGGAGATATGGCCAAGGCCACAAGAAGGGATCTTTGCAGCATGCACAAAAGTGACAGTAGCCTCAAGTGACCCTTTTCATTAACACATAAAATTGTCACTTTTATCACAGTTTACAAATACTATGACAGCTTCTGGAAATTACCTCACAGGGATAGAAATGGGAGGACTCTCCATTCAGGAAGTTTTCCCCCGTTCCAGGAAAAATCATAAATATTTTACCCCCTATCACTTAACACAGATTTGGAAAATCAGCATAAAGGGGAAAAGTGTCACTAAACTCAGGGTCTTCTCCACTTGAGAAGGTAGAAGTCTCTGGAGTATACACTGTCTTTTAATAAACTTTGACCTTTTGCACACACATACAAAAAATAATAATATAAATACACATGCCATGTGCAATGTAAAATGTACATGAAATCAGTCTTTACATTTGTATGAAGCTGTTTTCACCAGTTTCATTAGTTCTAAAAGACTCTGGCTTTTCAAATTTATGTTCCATAAGTTAGAGAATAATGAATAAGAAGTCTTTAAACCTTACAAAACCCAAAGTCCTTCTTGGTCATTCTCTTCTATACCGATTATGCTTTGTACTAATTACCAAGCGGTGGGTGGTGGGGCAGGCCCAGCGCTGGTCTCCCAGGCTTACTTTCAAGCCATGGTTACTCTGCTCTCAGTTAAAATCCTGAGAAGCACAAGCTGAAACATCCTTAGTTCTTCTGCACTTGCTCCATTCATTAAGAACGTTGACACTGGCTTGGCTGACATTTCTGTGGTCTAGATTAGTGACTTCCTTTGCCCCCATGTCATTCTCCGCTCACTTCTTTTTAATGCACAGCAGCACTGCACTGACACCAGCCCTGTGTACTGGTTTCCACGAGGGAACCATAACTGCTTTGGGAGCATGAAGAGGGAGCACAGTATCTGGCACTTCTTGAATAAACTGACTATAATTATACTAAATGTCTGCCCCTAAGGAGGTAACTCCACCACGAATGAATCTCTAAATCCTACCTAGAAATCGGGAACCGTCATCAATTTAAAATTTTAAGGCCATACCCAAGGCACCCGGTCCTCACGTGGCTAGATGCAGGTAACAGAAACTTGAAAATAGTTGAAGTACTTTTCAGAATTTCAGGAAGCATATTGAAAAAGAGATTCCAAAGTCGAGTAGTGGAATAATTAATTTGAATAGTTATGAAGTAAATAATTTAAATGTATTACAGTTGGTAAAGCCCTTTCATCTGAGACTAAACATTGTATCTTTCCATATATAATAAGGAAATTTAATTCAAAATTCATAAGAAGCTGTATGAGGACACCAATAATAAGAATGATACCATATCAAAAGCTTTGAACATAAAGACAATGACTTAAATATTAAGCAATTAATATCGTTAAAATTTATCACAATTAATGAAGATTTATTTAATTTATACTTGTTTTCATAAAAAGAAAAATCCATTTATACCATTTTCTTATTTCAAGTACATCATCCATTTATCCTCTGAAGTATCAGCTTTTTTGGTAAACACTTTCTAAGAGACATCTAGAATACTTATCACAACTACTAGTGCTGTTACTATAATACTGAGACCATCTCCCATTTCTTGTACCCTGCCATACGTGTTCCCAGTTTCTGCAGAAGTTAAACTGCCGTTTCATTATTTCCAAGGTTTCCACCACATCCTCTGTATCCTCAGTGGTCTTCCCTCAGTCTATCAAGCAATGACTCCTAGAACACGTCTTAACTTTCATGTTACCATAAATTACGTGACAAAGCTTTTCAGCAACTGATCCCCGAGAGAGCTGGCAAGTTCCTCAGAGTGTGTTTCACACGGTCACTTGACATGGAGGAAAATTCATTTTTGTTTCTTGGTCCAAGATCCTCAACTACCTCTGACAAATGGGTATTAACTTACATATTACACACTCCCTTGGAGTTATTTTAGAGCCATGCGTCCTGATTTTGACCTTAAACCCATCCCATATGAGCCTCAAACACCATTTCCCCCAGCTCAGATAACTCAGGAAATCCACACAATGAAATGACAGGACTACAGAATGAGAGCGCTCTCTGAGTCACTGCATGACGTGGAGCCTCCCTGGAGGTCTGCTGAACCCACATGGGTTTTGTGTGAGCCAGAAATAAACGTGCGTTGTGAGGGTTTTCATGCTTCATTTTTTGGCTCTGCGTACCTCAGTCTATTTTTACTCTGTTTTTACTCTTACTTCACTGGTAGTACGCTCCCTCTTTGAATGTTGTCATTAAAATCTGTTGTTTGTTAATAATTATTCTTCTACAGCGGTTCTCAATCTGTGGGGTGAGACCAGTGAAAATACATCCTGCGTATCAGATATTTACATTATGATTCATAACAGTAGCAAAATTACAGTTATGAAGTAGCAATGAAAATAATTTTAAGATTGGGGGTCACCACAACACGTGGAACTGTATTAAAGGGTCACAGCATTAGGAAGGTTGAGAACCGCTCTTCTAGAATAAACCAGACAGGTGTGTTCACCTTTCTTTTAGCGGGTCTTTGTCACTTTCTTTTTGTCATCGGCATTACTTACTCCCAGCATACCTAGTGTGCACCTATCTTAAGGGGATTTTAAAATGTGTTTCAAATATTAAGGGTTCAATTTTTTTTACATTGTATATTTGAAATGTCAATGAACACCAGAAAATGTGTCGCAAAATGAGTTGAGACTTTAATAATACAAATTCATTAGGACAAGGATCATGTCTCAATTGTATTGCAGTCGAAACGTTCTGCCAATTTAAGATGTACTATTTGGGTAATAATAATAATGACACTGAGAACTGTATCTGAAACCAGGTCCCAACTTATAACACTGTAATGCTTCTTGATTTACTGATGCAATTCTCAATGCTAAATTGAAAACATTTTCTGAGGCATATTTGAAATATCACAGACATGGAAGTTAAATGAGTTCATGTTCTCCATGCTAGGTCAGTTGGATCCAGTCACAAATTGAAATTTTCAAAAGACACTAAGGTGTAAAGATTAACTCCCTATTGCAATTAGAAAAATTTCACCCATTCTGTCATCTGCCAACCTAACTATAGTATAGCGAACAGGCACACAATTTATTGTGAAATTCTAATTTCAACTCTGCAACCAACCTAGCTTTGGATCACTTACCCTTTTAAAGACTTACAGTCTTTTTTTTGTATAATAGAAACAATCAGTCCTAATTATTTAGCTCCAATTTGTTGGTAGGATAAAATTATGAAAGAAATCTATAAAACATTTTTCACAGTAGGGCATGCATTTTCTGATTATTTGGTTTAGTTCCAGTTCCCAGATGTTACTTCTTTAACTTATTATTTATCATTAATTATTATTATTTATTTATCGTTTATTCTAGTTACCAAGTCAAGTATACACTTTAATTCTATCACAGCTAGAAACAGCCGTCCTATCCATATGCACTCAGTTTATTGAAGGCAGAGGTCAGCTCAGTGCCAGCAGATCTCTGATAATCCTAAAACTTGAAATTGTTATCTATAAACAGTGCCTGAAATCCCGAAAACAGTAGATTAATAATGGCTCAGTCGGTAGGGCACCAGCCCCATATACCGAGGGTGGCAGGTTGGAACCCGGCCCTGGCCAAACTGCAACAAAAAATAGCTGGGCGTTGTGGCAGGCACCTATAGTCCCAGCTTTTCAGGAAGCTGAGGCAACAGAATCTTCTAAGCCCAGGAGTTGGTGGTTGCTGTGAGCTGTGATGCCACAGCACTATACCAAGGGCTCACTATAAAGTGAGACACTGTCTCAAAAAAATAAAAAAGAAAAGAAAAGAAAGAAAGAAAGAAAAAAAGAAATAGATAAATAAATAAAAATGTTCAATAAATACTTCCCAAATGAATAAATGGCAAATGAATGAATTCATAATATAATTTATGGACAGTGAGGGAAAAGAACTAAAAGGCTAGGAGAAATTAAGAGACGAAATTTAAAAAGTGACAAAAAAGACAATAATAATACTACTTTGATAATTTATCCTATTTTCATGATACAAGCAAATGTTTTAGAAATTTACAAAAATTAAAATACAATTATGGGGCAGTGCCTGTGGCTCAAAGGAGTAGGGCACTGGCCCAATATACCAGAGGTGGCAGGTTCAAACCCAGCCCTGGCCAAAAACTACAAAAAAAAAAAAAAGACAATCATGAAAATTTTCCATCCACAGTTAATTTCTCTAATTATTGTCTATTTCCAATTATATTTTGTTAAGATATTTTTTTAAATGCTCAATATAGGCAGAAACAATAATGAAGTTTACATTGAGTTACAGGGTTTCCAAAACCTTAGAAGAATGTGATATTCACAAATTGATTTATGTAAGTACTATTGTTCCAACTTCAGCAATAT